CTGAAATATTTTTTCATTTGCCTAATATTTTTTGAGATATTTAAGGAAAACTTGATAATTTTTTTAACATTTAACTTACGATATCTCGTTAATTATACGTCGAAAGCAAAAATAGTATTAGAACTTTTTCACTTTATTTAGTCTCAAGAATATATTGCTACAATAGTGCTCTAACTTTTGTTAACTTATCAACCTTTGGAAATTTCAAAATTATCAAATTAACAGAAGTGAAGGCGTTATTGTAACGATATATTCTTGACATCAAATAGAGTAAAATAGTTTATCACTTTTTCTTCCAACAAACAGCGAAATATCGTAAGTTAAATATTGAAGAAGTTACCAAGTTTTCCTTAAATACTTAAAAAAATATTAAGATAATAAATAAATGTTTCAAACAAAAGTTGTTCAAATTAGTTGGTAGAAAAAGATGATATAATAAAAAATTGAGGTTTTCATTTAATAAAATTGATGATCAGTGGATATATCTCGAAAGTAGCGCTATCTATAAACAAAATGCTATCATTATTTTATATCCTCCTTCAAATCAAACAACTTTTGTCTGAAACATTTTTTTCTAAAGTGTCACATTGACATTTGAATGATACCTGGCAACGAGAAACAGATCGTTCAATAATGTTCGACGAAAAAGATCATAGTCGAAAAGAGAAACCAATTCAATTAACGTCAAAAGCAGATATTTATCAAAAAAATATTTGCCGTCAATGTGTAGGTAGGATTGGAGAGGAATAATTATGAAGTTGGTTGAAGGATAACCAAAGCTGTTAGAATAAAATGGTTAATATTACTGAATAAAGTTTTCACTTTCTATGAAACAATCGTTTTCCATTTTCTGAAAAAAATCGGCAATCATTTTCTTTACAACCTAATATAATATAGACTCATTATTTTAATAAGGTGAAGAATAAATTGAGGTATGAGGTTTAGGTCCTAATACCTAACCTAGGTCTATGCATAAGTTCCTATGGTTTTTTCGGCGACTTAGTTATGTATATTAAAGAAATAATACATGTTTTATCCAAATATTTCTTTTTACTTGTTATAAGTTTGGACCATTTTTCAGGAAATAAATAGATTCATTGATTAAAGAATGATGCATCTTTCGATAACATGAATTCATCAACCCATTTTTGTATTTCAATCTCATTTTTAAATCGTACACCAGACAGATGGTTCTGCATTAATCGAAATAAGTAATAATCTGAAGAGGCAAAATCTAAATTATATGTCGGGTGTGGTAGAACTTCTCACTGAAGTTCCAATAAGATATCCTTGATCGTGGATGTAACATGTGGCCAAGCGTTGCTGTGTAACAAAATGATTTTTCGATTTCCTTTCCCTGTCTACAGCCTTTTTTTCTGAATTTTTTCGTTCAACCGAAACAATTGGCGACTATAGCGTTCTGTAGTAATCATTTTACCAAGTTTGAGCAGTTCATAGTAGAACGCGTCTTTCTAGTCTTACCAAATGCAAAGGAGAATCTTATGTCTGTGAATATTGCGCTTTAGTGTCGAAGTGTAGAAAGCTGTCCAGGGTCTAACCACTTCTTTTTAGGGTTTAAGGTTGTCATAATAAATGTATTTTTCATCTCCAATTACTATTTTCTATAAAAAGACTTTTTTTCGTCGAGCAAACAGTGAGATACAGGTGTTGAATCGGTTGCTAATAGCTCGTTCCGATAGTTGATGTTAACCACAGGACCCATTTCCTTTCTTTCTGGATCTTTCCCAATGCATGTAAGCGTCGAAGTACTGTTATGTGATTAACAGAAAGTTGTTCTGCAAGCTCCATAGACGATTGAGCTGCATCTTCGACGAGTAAAACTTCTAAATCCTCGTTTTTCATTTCTTAAGGTCATCCAAAGTGAAGTTTATCATTAACATCGAAATTTCCACTTCGGAACCTTTGGAACTAGAATTGGCATGTACTTTCAGACATAATATGTTTACCATAGATCTCGCAAATAATTCTGCTTGTTTCAGCGGTACTTTTTCCGCGATGAAAGTAATACAGCATGCAGTATCGAATATGCACCTTTTCGATCTCCATTTTCAATTAAATTAAAAATGTGTATAAGCAAACAAATGCGAACTATTATATATAAGTTCGAATTTAAGTTAACCAACAGCTTTAATGTAAAACGTAAAATATAACCTAATTGAAAAGTTTACGCATTCAGATTACAGCGCCATCCAAACTTAAACTCTGGAACGTATGTACAGACTTAATAATTTCTTGAAAGTTATTCTAGGTCATGATTTTATTTTAAAGTCGTTGAAGAAATCAATTTTATTCTGCATACTTACCAAATATATGTAACGATACATACAGGCGAGTGTATCGTTACGCTGACTGCCGCTGAACATCACGCGGCAGTCACCTGAGCGCGCACCCCCCGACCCGCGCTGTCACCGCGCCTTTCAACGCGCTCACCCGAGGCTAGCCGAAGACCCGGCAGCAACGCTCGGGAACGATCGGCCACCAAGCCGAACTCGCGGCGCCGCCGAAACGATCCTCGGCGAACGTCGCATAACCACTTGCGCTGGCAAAAAATTCACTGACGCCTGTACCAGAACGGTCCAGTGTAACTCACGATTAACCACTTGCGCTGGCAAAAAATTCACTGACGCCTGTACTAGAACGGTCCAGTGTAACTCGCTGAGAGGCGTCACACAGTATTCGATGCCTTACAGAAATCGGAAAAAGATTTATATTTTCTAAACTAATTTATTTTCGACCTAGGACTTTTAATAGCTTTTTGAAGGGAATATAGAGCGTCGATTGATTATAAAATTATACAAATATAAATATTTAATTTATTTATTAATAATCATGCAAAGTGTGGTATCTCTCGAAACAGTCTGGAACATGTAATGGTACAAGGCATTTCTTACATTCCCATATAGTTTTACTTCGTTTTTTGTGTTCGGTACACACTCTACACCTTCGCTGTGGATTCTTTTTGGCATTTGTGTCTGGCAAACAATCCCACCCGACGTGCCACGCACGTCGTTTTTGTTTCTGTGACAATCGCATGACAAGGTACATACCACGTCGTTGGCGATTCTGTGACAAAAGCATTACGACGTGCGTGGCACGTCTTTCCAGCGCAAGTGGTTAATCTCGATCAAATTCGGATTAATCAACGAAAGGAACCGAAGACGGAAAATGACGAGTATATAAACTCGACAGTTTTTGGCAAGAATCAGTTTTGGGATAGGCTTCAAGCAGTCTTTGGAGAGTCTTCCAAGCATCTGAGGAAATCCATCGTCTAGGAATAGCCGTCAGAAAATCTGTAGAGCACCTCCAGGAGATTGAGAGTTTCGAGTAAGTAATCTACCAGGCCGCCGCCGTCGGCATCCGTGATTGCTTCTTGTTCTTTGCGATATAGAGATCGAACGGCGAGTTTACCGTTGCTCCGGTATGTTCTCTGGAACGATTCTCTTTTGTACCGTCTTTGCGATATAAAGATCGAACGGCGAGTTTGCCGTTACTCCGGTGTATTCTCCGGAACGATCTTCTTTTGTGCCGTCCTTGCGATATGAAGATCGAGCGGCGAGTTTGCCGTTACTCCGGTGTGTTCTCCGGAACGATCTTCGTTCGTGCCGTCTTTGCGATATAAAGATCGGACGGCGAGTTTGCCGTTACTCCGGTGTGTTCTCCGGAACGATTCTCTTTTGTGCCGTCCTTGCGATATAAAGATCGAGCGGCAAGTTTGCCGTTACTCCAGTGTGTTCTCCGGAACGATCTCCGTTCGTGCCGTCTTTGCGATATAAAGATCGAACGGCGAGTTTGCCGTTACTCCGGTGGGTTCTCCGGAACGATCTTCGTTTGTACCGTCTTTGCGATATAGAGGTCGAACGGCGAGTTTGCCGTTGCTCCGGTGTGTTCTCCGGAACGATTCTCTTTTGTGCCGTCTTCGCGATTTAGAGATCGAACAGCGAGTTTGCCGTTACTCCGGTGTGTTCTCCGGAACACTCTCATAAATATATTTCTTTTTGTTTCTTTCTCTCTACTTCCTATAGGACTCAGAGTACGTAAGGATCGGTACGAGGGCAGAAAGAGTCGTCGCCCACACCTACCGACTGGCCGGCGGGGCCGCCGGCCCGGAGTAACTTCATCGGCAAAGCGCATCGCGACCTCCAAAACAAAAAGAAATCGCCTAACGACCGCGACTAGTAGGACCAGGGGATCAAGCCGTAAGGCCTTGCGAACCTCTCCCGTCATCGGAAATCACGCGACGAAGCGAAGCGAGTAATTACGACGATTGACGAAACACAAGCGCAAGACTTACGCTCGACGCACGGCCTACCTATTGTGTGCGCACCACAAGCGATAACGCGGCACGACGCGACGCGTTTTTACGCAGTTTCTTATGTACAGCGAGAATCAGACGAGACGAAGACTCGGCATTTAAATCCGAATAAAGGCCCGCGCGAAATTGCTATTTCAGCCACCGCCCACGAGTTTTCTTCCCCCATCCACTGTACCTTCTGTGTATTAAAATAATTACTATTGACGAGTCGACAGTCACGCATCTAACCGAACCATCGTCACGGAATACGGCCGTTCGCAGCGACGACGAGCCGAAGCGAAACAACGCCGCGCATTGAAGCGGTACCCAAACAGTGGGGAACCTCGCGAAAATAACACGCGGTCGTTGCGTGCTGAAACGATAAAAATAAAGCGTCACTGTCTACAAACATCGACCGACTTCGATTATTCACCCAGATCACCTTCTCCTAATAAAACTTCTGCGCGCGATTCGCTAACGACGATCGCGACGCAGGGGCGGATCGAAGAAGAAAAGCGAACCCGGAGGCACGGGCGTTACATATGCATATATTTTAATATTTATTCTTTGAAAATATGTACTTTTAATTGTCTTATCAAATAATGTTATTTGTAAGAATATTTTAATTAGCATATTTTTGAAGCACCTAATTTTTTAATGTTAATATCAAAATATTATTATTACGCAGATATGAAAACTGGCGCTCAGACTCAGGTTCATCCAGATACATTGCTTCGTTGGCTGCAGAAACAAGTTGCATTGTATGATAAAATTCATATCGAAGACATGGGTGTCTCCTTCAAAGATGGCTTAGCTATCTGTGCAATTATTCATCGATACCGTCCAGATCTAATCGATTTTTATAATTTAAATACTGAAAACGCTGCGAAGAATAATCAACTTGCCTTTGATATACTGGAAAAGGAATTGGATATAAAGCCGGTAAGTATGTTATGTTTTTAATCTATTAGATGTAACATTCTGAAATAGAATTATATTTCCATTTGTAATATGCACATATAGTTTGTAACATTACTTTTTTTTATTTAATATTACTCTGTAATTTTATAAACATGTTTATATTATATATACAGGATGTCCCATTTTAAATGTCCACTCCAAATATCTCTTATTTTTGATTTTAGAGAAAAATGGTTCAGACATGTTTAGTATGGTTTCGAGGGGGCCATAAAATGGTACCATTGATTTAACCTTGAAGAGTCATTTGAAGGTCACGTGAAGGTTACCTCAATTTTTTTAGATGGTATCCCCTATTTTTTATTACATATTCTTATAGCTGACCTCGGGAGCTTCCCAAAACACCATAATCAAATGTTTTTTGGTGAAGTACTTCTCGAGTTATAAAGCTCCAAATTTACAAAATTTTGATAAAAATACAAAATATTTCGTAAAACATTCACATTCCGATAGTCTTATCTTACATGATCTAACCAGTCAAGGCAAGATCAGAGCATGATCCAACCAGTCAAGGCAAGATCCGAGCATGATCCAGCCAGTCAAGGCAAGATCCGAGCATGATCCAGCCAGTTAAGGCAAGATCCGAGCATGATTCAGCCAGTCAAGGCAAGATCCAAGCATGATCCAGCCAGTCAAGGCAAGATCCGAGCATGATCCAACCAGTCAAGGCAAGATCTTCTTTTGTGTATAATTACTTAAAGTGTTCAAAAACTTGGCCATTTAATTGTATGCATAGCTCTAGTCTATGATGAAAGTCGTCTCTAACTTTTTCAAGAACACCTAATTTTTCATTAATATTTCTGCAAGCCTGTCTGATCCGGTTTTTCATATTTTCAACGATTGTAGGCTTTTGCGTATAAACTATATCTCTAATGTAGCCCCAGAAATAAAAATCTAGGAGTGTCAAATCGGGTGATCTTGGGGGCCATTCTTGAACTTGGCTGCCCATACCAATCCACCTATTCTGGAACCTATTGTTTAAATATTGTGTAACAGCTCGAGATCTATGAGCCGGTGCTCCATCTTATTGGAACCACATTCGTCTGAGTAAATCATTGTCGACATGTCTCAAGAGGTTGGGCAGGTCATCTTGAAGAAATCTTAGATAGATTGCCGCATTGAGATTTTCTTCAAAAAAATATGGACCAACAATAACATCTCCTAGGATGCCTGCCCAAACGTTAATGGACCACTGCCGTTGGAACTCTTGGCTTCTCTGCCAATGTGGATTAGCATTTGAATAATAATGGCAGTTATGTCTATTAACGCCTCCTCTATTACAAAACGTGGCTTCATCAGAAAAAAGCGTATCAGCAATGAATCGGGGATTTTGTTGGATTTGATCTTGAGCCCAGTTACAAAAGCGTACACGGCATTGGTAGTCCCTCTCTTCCAATTGCTGAGTTAGATGAATGTAATATGGATGAAACTTGTTGAGCTTGAGCACACGATTGGCTGTTGATTTAGATATACCGTGTTGCCTCTCAATTTGTCTCGTAGAGATTTGAGGATTCAAAGCAACGGCACCTATAGCAATCAATAATGTGACTTCATCAGGGCTCGATTTTCGCCGGTTTCTTCTAAGAAAACCCTGTTCAGCTCTGTCGCTGAGTCTTTTTTATTACTTTCCTATCAGGATGGCGTCTGTCTGGAAATCTTTCAGCATAAAGCCTTTCTGCTGCCGAGTAATTATTCCTGGCCTCAACCAAAATGAGAATGCGAATCATGTCCACAATTTCATTTGGTGGATAAGCAGCGATAATTATAAAGAAAAAAAGCGCCAAAAAACCAAAAATTCCTGTCTTATCAAAAGAAAGTTAATGGATAATAATATGCGTCTGTCTGAGACTTTGCCAAAATACCGACAGTTGCCCAAGTAAGAAATTTGAAACAAGCCTCTTGATATTTGTTTCATTAAAAGAATTTACAATTGCACTTTCACAATTGTTACAGTTCATTGATTATCAGGCAAAACAGGATCTCGTCTTGACTGACTGGATCATGCTCGGATCTTGTTTTGACTGGTTGGATCATGTTCGGATCTTGCTTTGACTGGTTGGATCATGTTCGGATCTTGCCTTGACTGGTTGGATCATGTAAGATAAGACTATCGGAAAGTGAATGTTTTACGAAATATTTTGTATTTTTATCAAAATTTTGTAAATTTGGAGCTTTATAACTCGAGAAGTACTTTACCAAAAATCATTTGATTATAGTGTTTTGGGAAGCTCTCGAGGTCAGCTACAAGAATATGTAATAAAAAATAGGGGGTGCTATCTAAAAAAATTGAGGTAACCTTCACGTGACCTTCAAATGACTTTTCAGGGTCAAATCAATAGTACGATCTTATGGCCCCCTTGAAACCATACAAAACGTGTCTGAACTATTTTTCTCTAAAATCAGAAATAAGAGAGATATTTGGAGTGGACGCTTAAAATGGGACACCCTGTATATATAAAATATTTTTATTTTATAGTGTGAGATTATGATTTTTGTCATTTAGTATATGTGATTTTATAGCAATGTGGCAAATAGAAAAAAATAAATTATATTAGTTTGTATTTCTAGTTTGTAGAAAATTAGTAGATTTGCCCATTCATTTTTTAGTCGCTCACTCCCTGTTTTCAGAACGATTAAGTTGGCGCTATGATGATATTTTAGTACTTGGAGTCGATTATCTGATGGACTAATGTCCTCTCAGTTTTCGAAGTGATTATTCGCCCCTGATCTCTTTGCCAACGCTAAACTGTCTTATCCATAATGTAGTATGGTTTTCGGTTGTCTTTGTCCTATAATCGATAAATCAGTAGGCTAATAAATTGTCTGCCAAACTAAGTTGAATCGAACTGACTTAAGTCGAACTGATTTGAACTGTGACTGAGCAATTTCCAAAGATTGACAGTGACTTTCTATACGTTTTTGCATTTTGAGCTTTTCATAGGCTCATCGTTTACGATTAATAAACGGATATTGTCGCACGTTCTTATATTTGGATATTCGGTTGCGTTTTGATAATGCGCTTTGGCGGCACGATCGATTGCGTTCGGACTAAGTCTGTTTTGCCCAAAAGTTGATGTAAGGTACATACACGTTAATCAGCGTGAAGATTAGTAAGCGGTGGTCAGTGCGGTTCAGAGAGGATGAGTTGTATACTAGTAATCTGGCTTCCAGCGCATCTTACAAGGAAACACGTGGAAGTGTCCTGCATCGATTTTGATAAACTTGAAATATGTAATAATTTAGACAAAAATGGGAGATATGAATTTTTTATATATGCTCTATCAGTCTTTTAAGAGATGAAATATTTTGAAAAAATGTCGATTTTTTTCTTCCGAAACATGCATAACCATACACATACACACACGCACACGCACACGTACGCACACGCACACGTACGCACGCGCGCACGTACGTGCGTACTGTTACGTTCCTAACGTATATTCGTATCTTTCCAGCTCTAGTCTGTTTACCTACATATGTCTTGAACATTCCTATCCCTTTTTAAATATTGTTTTATGATCATACCTACTTTTATGACCCCATCTCTTTTTTTTTATAGTAGTTTTCCTCTAAACTCTCTAAACTGGAGACTGACGAAAGCGTTCGTCAGTCTCCAGTTGTCTTCCTTCCCGTAAGGAACACCTTCCGTTCCTCTCGTAGCGTATATTTAAATATATGTATATACATATATTCGAATAAACTCGTCTCTCTATAAAAAGTCTCTCCCCTATTCACGAAGAAATTATTATAATCATTACATTTCGAACGTAACATCTGTTCGGTTCCTTCCATGCACGAAAGTATTATTTACCATGACCCGACAGCCGCCACTTCGTCTCTTCAATCTTGCTTGTACGTTCAAAAATCTTCTAACAACATCGAAAGAAACCTGTAGAAGCCTAACTTAACATGTAGATTGAATAAATCAGCATTATAAAGTGAAAGAACGTCGAAAACATCGATACAAAAGAAAATTCGCGATTGCGGCTGCAATTTTGAGTCTGCCATATTGAAAAAAAGAATTGGGAAGAAAACTACCCACATATTTTTAAAGTACAAATGTTAATAACACAATCTGTGCAGTTTCCGGTGTAAAACAAAAATTTTTTCTACAAGAAATTAGTGATTTTTGTAAAAAAGAGGCTGAGAAAAGCGACTTTTTGTCTAAATTTGTCAGAAAACAATAAAAATTGATATTTTTGGGTTTTCTAAATGGTCAGATCGTAAAGAGCGGACCCGAAAACCCTTAGAAAAATTATTCCCAAAAAGAGTTATTGACGATTTCATTAAAATCTGTTAGCTCAAAGTTGGAGACAAAGTTTGTAGTATTCAGGTGTTAATGAGTTAATCTGTGTATTCAAAAACAGGCATTTCATAAACTTCAATAGCATTCACTTTAAGCCATCGTATCTTTTATAATTTTGACTTTCGGAATTTTTGCCACAGGAAACTTTCGATCGGCACCACCTAAACTACATTTTCATAATTGTAGTTGATTTGACCGAAGAAACTTCTTTCACATAAAATGTGCGGGGTCCTTTCTCTCGTTTGGGCAATACTCAAGAACATGCTTGCCACACATCAGTCCGCGTCGGTGGCTCGTGTGTGACTCTCCGTCTTTTATTATTCGTTGTTCAGGAAGATTACTCTTCAATCCGTGGTGCATAACAATATATTCCCACACTTTGTCTTTATGAAAATATACAGGATGTCCGGAATGTGATCATTAATATTTTGTGTACTGGTAGAACTCGTTAAAACAATTAAAAAAGTCCTGTGCCATTTCACAATTTTTTCAATATTTATTCCGTAATTAATTAAAATGTGTAAACGAATGAGCGCACAAGAAAGCGAGAGGACGGGCTCTGTGTATAAGAAGATGGCTTACTTCGCGCGGCGAGAGGCAACCGTAAGCGAGAAGAGGCGTGCGCGCGCGACAAGAAGCGAGCGCAAGCAACAAGAGG